GACAAAGAGAGACAGAGAGACAGAAAGCGAGAAATCACCCCCCAAGGGAGATGGCCAGTCCCTTCTCCTCCATTCTCCTCTCGGGATCTTGGGCACGCGTGCACACGCGCCCAGCGTGAGTTTAAGCCACAGGGTCCGGGACTCGAACCACATTCAATTACATGGGAGTCCAGTGATATAGCCATTACACCAACTGCTGGTCCCAGCACTCAACTTCTTTTACGGGCAGGCAGGACCCAGGCAGAGCCCTCCGATCTAGAGAGGGCAAGGTCTGCTCTACGGAGCAGTGAGCAGTGGTGGTTGATGCTGGGGCAGGCAGGGGTGGGACACTTCCTGGGGAGAAGCAGCCAGGATGGCCACAAACCTGGTAGCAGCCTCACTGAGGGCTCCCTCCCACCCTGGCCTCGGCCCAGCTCCTCTCCTACCTGCTTTCTCCGTGGTCCTCCCAGCGCCCACCATGCGGCCACATGCCATGCACAGCCGGCGGTCGCAGCGCGGGCATCTCCAGTGGGTGTTGAAGAGTCCGTGGTGACATCGGCTACAGCAGCGTGGACCACCTGGGTCATCCTTCGCCACAGCTGGCCCCTGGCCTGCCGACCACAGAGAGAACCCAGTCAGAGGCGAAGGCGGGCCCTCTCAAGGACGCCACGGGAAGGCAGAGGGAGCAACAGTGAGGGCCCTGACGTTTGCCACCTCGTACTCAGCAGCCCACCAAGAGCCTGCACTGAAACCATCCTGTCCAGAAGACACCGCCCAGGGCCCAGGAGTTCTCGGTTCTGCCCTGCCCACGCGAGCCCTGCCCAGGACTGTCCCCACAGCCCGAGAACACCGGTCCACACCACTGCCGACACAGTCTTCCACCCAAGCCTCCATCCAAGCCCTCAGAGCTCCCGAAATGACAGGGTGGGCCCACGCAGTGGCATTTCCTCCAGAGGCCTCCGTGGTAGGAGAGGAGCCCTCAACGGTCATTCCTTCTCTTATTAAAGGGGTGCTTTTTAAAAAATATTTATTTAATTGTATTTACAATAGAATTTACAATTGTACTTAATTGTATTTTTTTAAATAATTATTTTATTTAACTTTTTTTATGCCTTTATTTATTTATTTTAATTTGACCAGAGAGCTATAGAATGAAAGAGAGAGAAAGAGAAAAAGTGAGAAAGCAAGCCGCCAGGCCTGGGACTCAAACCTTGGTCAGCCATGTAGGAGTCCAGCACCCTTAACCACATACCACCTGCTGGCCCCCGATTATTATTATTTTTCAATTTGCTATAGGGCACATGTGCTCACCCGAGAGAGAGAGCCAGAATAAGAACGCAAAGCCACCAGGTCCGGGACTCGAAACACAGTCGGCCAAGTGGGAGTCCAGTGCCTCAAGCACCCTGCCACCTGCTGGCCCCAAGGGGTGCTTTATTTTCAGACTCTGCCATTGTTGGAAGTTGGAAAAGATGCCACTGAGCACAGTCAATAACACTTGCCATGTCCCTGCTGGGCACAGGGGACTCAGAGCTGGTCGGGGCTTGGCCCTGGCCCTCCCAGAGCCCACAGTCCCAGTGGGGAGTCAGCCCATAAATGGCCAGCGAGGATGGCACCATGGGCGGGTGCTCCTACAGCGGGGCGGGGCGGGGCGGCGGGAGATTCCCGCGTGGCCCGAAGGTGAGTCAGTTTTCATTCTGCAAGTGGGAAGGGAGGAGCAGGCATTCCAGACAGGGAGCAGCTAGGGCCTAGGCCCCGGGGACAGATGAGCCTGGGTGATCCGGGAAGGCGAGGACAGGAGCTGGCGTGCTGGGAATCAGGCTGGGAGTGGCAGAGCTGACAGGGAACTGGCCAGAGGCTGAGGGGATGCGTATGAAGGGGGCTGGCCTTTCGGGGAAGAGGGAGCCCCACCCAGGAGGGTCAGGGACGGGCCAGCGGTGTGTTTGTAGAGCCCCCTCTCCTGGAGCCTGGACCCCACAGACCAGCCAAGGCCCTCTGATCTCTATCAGCCCAAACCCGACCTTTCTAGGCTGTGGGCCTTGCCACCCCAGGAAGCCTTTCCTGACCGCCATCTCTGAGTTCTCCTCGGCCCTGCTCACATGTTCTCGAACATGCTCGGCACCTGGCCTTGTCTTCCCAGTAGGCCTCAAAGCTCTCGGGCTGGACCGAGTTCCAGCCTCCCCAGCAGCCCCGCACCACCAAAAACCGCAGCCTTGACGAAGAGCCCTGAGGAAGGGCTGGGAGGAGGACGGCTCTGCCAGGTCAGCAGCCTCGGAACAGGCAGTGCTGGGGAGGAGGCCAGGCCCTGCTCACCTTCCCGCTGAGCCCAGGCCAGGGCCTCCCGCTCCCTGCGCAGCAGACGGCACAGACGGTCTCCCAGGCCGCTCAGCAGGTGCTTGGCGAGGCCTCTGCCCAGCCCGGCCCCCGGGCCAGACTCTCCTCCCTCTTCAGAGGCAGCCTCCAAGTTCTCCTCTGGCTGCCGCTCACCTCCCTGGGGCCATCTGGAGATAGGGCAGAGGATGGTGAGGAGGAGCCTGGGAGGATGCTGGGGGCACTCCTGGGCCCTGGGCTCACCCTCACCTCCGTGCTGGCCGGGAGCAGCAGGCCGGCCCTCCCACCTCTCCAACAGCCTGAGCACAGCTTTGGCAGTGAGGAATGCCTGCCAGGAGGGCTGGGCGAGGTCTGTCCTGAAGCCCTGTATCCTGGAGGCTGCTCCTGCCATCTTGGGGTCCTGAGGAGACAACGCACCTGGTCAGGAGTCAGGGATCCCCATACTCACGTGAACCCCAGCCCCTGTCACAGCCGGCCCAGCCCCTGGGTCTCATACAGAGCCAGCAAAGAGGGCTAGGTGGCTAGAAGGTTCACACGGCCGAGCAGGAGCCTGAATCCCCAACCAGGACTGGCCGGACAAGGACAGGGCTGCGGGTGCGGCGTCAGGACGGGGGCAGGATCCAGCCAGTGTAGACTGTGGATGCTCTGCTGAGGGCTCCATGACTCTGCTGGCTCACGGTCACACAAGGAGACAATCCAGTGTGGACGAGGGTGCCGGACTGTGAGAAGGCCCGAGCCTCACACAGGACACAGGTGGAGTCACCCCAGAAGGTAAAGGGGCCGAGAATCCCCGGCCAGGCAGAGCCCTGGAGGGCACATGGCCCCGTGCCAGGTGCAAGAGCAACTGCACAAGGTCCCGAGGACAGTCCTGACCCCAGCCCAGCAGCACGGGAGGCTGAGAAACAGGCGGTCCCGAAGAACTGGGCCAGCACGGCAGAAGCTCACACGAAGGACAGAGGGCGGCAGAGTGCGAGCCGGAGTCCTAATGCAGGCAAGAGTCAAGCCACGTGCCCGTGATCCCACCGGCCTAAGGCAGGGCCAGAGCTTCTTCAAGAACAGTGGTCCCTTAACGGGGAGCTGTGGCCCACGCCATGACAGCAGGAGCATGTCCCGAGCGCCGACCGTGTGCCAGGACCATCAGAGCCCTGGTGTGAACGAGCGCATTTAACTCCTGCAGCAGTTTCACGAGGTAGGGAGCGTCTTTATGCCCATTTTATAGACGAAGAAACTGCAGCTCAGAGAGGTGAAATGACGCAGCTGCCAATCAGCAGTCTGACCGCAGAGCCTGTGCTCCAGGCCTAGTCATTATGCTGCCACCGACACACCGTGGCTCAGGAGAAGACAGAGACAGAAGCCACTTGCTCAAAGACTCGGGCCTAAAGATGCGGAGAAACTTCCAGAGAGCCGTCACGATGCAGGTGGGAGATCCGACAGCTGTGCGAACCACTCAGAGGGCCTGCAGACCTGCACCCTGCAGAGCCCCAGTCCCAGCACCCCTCCCGAGCAGGGCCCCTGCACCGCCTCGCCCTTACCTCTCTGGGCCGCGTGCCCCTCTGCCTCGGCCTTGCTCCCGATTGGCACGTCCAGGAGCTCCTGCCACTCCTGATGCCCCTGCCCCACAGTGCCAGGGAAAGGGGCGGCTGGGCGCTTGGGGGCTGGGCTGCCCACTGCTCCCTGGGCCTCAGGGCTGCCTGCCCTCTTGAGGTTCCGGACCCGGGCAGCTAGGCTCTCCTCACCCCTAGGGCAGCCGCCCAGACACCCAAACTGCTCAGAATGTCGCGTGAGCCAGGTCTTCTTCAGCTTGGTGTGGTTGCTGGGTGGGCAGGTCCCGGGGCCAGAGGCCTTGTGCCCTTCCTCACCGTTTTCACCAGATGCACCGGCATCCCCGTCCAGGCCCTCCCGGCATGCCCCGCAGGAGCCAAGCGCCCCGTCTCTAGTGGGTGGGCAGGGTGAGCAACAGCCCCCCTGAGAAGGAGGCTCAGGAGAGGGGCACCTTGGCGTGGCTGGCGGCCCCAGCTGGTACCCAAGGCTCCCATTGCCTGGCACAGTCCAGACACCGCCAAGAGTGTGAACCAGGCCTGGGGGACAAGGGGGCCAGGGGGCATGGGGAGCAGTGTCCGGATGCCCCAGGAAGAGTGGGCACAAGTTCTGCTGCCTTCCCGCTGTCTCTGCGTCCCTCGGGTGGAGTGGAGGGCGGTCCGCCTCCCCGCCTCTCTGGAGATGCCCACCAGGGGCCAAGCCCAATAGCCCGGGTTCCGCAGCCACCAGGGGCTCCTTGGCCAGCCTGAGAATGTTCGGGTCCTTGTGGTAAAAGCCCTACAGAGAGGAGAGAGGGTTAGGCTGCTGCCAACTTGGATTCTCAGTGCTCAGAAGGGCGGGCAGAACTGACAAACAGTAGGAGTGTGAAATGGGAAGAACTCACTGCTCAACGCAGGGGCCCCTCTGGGCCCCCCAGGGCCTCCCCCTCTGCCTCGGCCACCCCCAGGCTTCTCGAGCTCCCCCACCACCCGGCAACTAAAGGGTTAGTACCTGACACAGCCAACCGTATCCAGAGACTACCTGGACGATGCAGTCCCCTGTACCATACTGGGTCTATTTTTTTTTAAGTTCATGCATTTATTTATTTTGTGAGTGGGTAAGAGAGGGAGAGAGTACCCTCAGCAGGGCCCTGCTCCGTGACCTGCCCATGGCCAGCCAGCCCTGGGTCATGGGCACACATGTGTCCAGCACGCTCAGGGACATCTCCAGGTGCAAACCAGCACCTGCCCACGGGATGAGCCCAGGGTGCTGTGCTCCATGACCTGGTGTTTGCAGTTCCTGTTCTTTAAATACGTACAATCTCATCCCTGGGCATGGGGGCCACCTTGAGGGAGGTGCCCTAGACTCAGGCCATGGGGCCACCTGCATCTCCCACTTCTCCTGCCCAGCTGTCCCCTCCCAGAACAAGGCCACATACTCCCAGGGAAGTCAATGGCTACAGTGGCCCAAGGGCAGGGGTGGTCCAGTGAGCTGCAGGTGCTCAGGGGAAGGGCTGCTTGGGGGTGCCTCTGGGGCCTGGGACAGCTCTGAGCTGTCGGACTCTCCTCCCGCCTTATCCTTTATTAGAATGAAGGGCTCGCTGGCAGGGCTTGCTGGGGACCTACGCAGTGGACCAGGGCCCTCTCTGTCCCAGTACTCACCTTGCTGCCTAAGCCGAAGGCGGAGGGCACTTTGGGCTGGCCTCCGGAGAACACCCAGGGATGTGGGGCCAGGGGCCAGTCACATGGACGCTCTGGGGGCAGGCCGGACACGAGGTAGGGTGGCAAGCAGGCGGGCACCCAGAAAGGAGCTCGCTCCAGGATCTTGGTCTCCAGAAGGAAAGGGCAGTGCGAGGGCCGGAAGGCCACAGGGTCACTCTTGGGATGGCTGCCACTCTGCTCAGGAGTCAGGGGGCCATAGTGAGGCAGGCACGCGGGCCCACAGAACGCCAGCGGGTGGGGGAGCGCCGCCCCCTTCCAGCGCAGGGCCTCTTTGCCACCCAGCCAGCTGGCCTTCCTCTCCCCGTTCAGGGGGCCCTCGCCCTGCACCAGCGGGAGCGTGTCCTTGGGGGCCTGGGGGCAGCCAGGGGAAAGCCAGGAGTCTGGGGTGTTCAGGACGCCCCTCCAGAAGGGAGCAGGTGCCCCGCGGTGCAGGCCATCCCGTGGCTGGGAACCCGGCTCCTGTCCCACGATGCCATTCTCAGGCGCCGCCTTCTCCCAGGCCAAGGTGTTCTTCAGGAAGCTGGGCGTACTCTCCATCGCTCCCCCGCCCTCATGGGCTCTCCTAGGGAGAGTCCCTGGAGGACAACACCAAAGCGTGAGCTCCTGGGGCGCACACCCCAGGAGCCCGACTGCCTGGCACAGAGTGGGCACCGCCCTGGCAGCACCAGGCAGCTCAAACCAGTAAGGCAAGTGGCAGCTCACAGCCAGGCACTGTGCTGCCTACCCCCGTGCGGCCAGGAGGACCCAGCCTGGGCGGGGTGCGCTGGTGTGCGCAGCTCCCCTGTCCCCCAGTTCCCCGGGACTCGACAGCCCACCTGGCCCACAGCCCCTTGGCAGTGTCTGCTATTTCTAGAATGATGTTCCAGCCACATGGACCCCACGGACACCACCGAGCCAGGGGCTGGGTCACAAGCCATGGGGAGGACATGCAGGTGCCCCAGGGGTGAGTGCAGCGGAAGGCAGGGCTGGGAAGGCAGAGGCTGGCCGCTCTGATGCTGGGTAACCTGGGTCCCTCCTCTGGGCCTCAGGTGAAGTGGAGCATGGCGTCAGAAGGCCTTCCACTCTGCAGGCTGTGTTTCTGGCACCCTGGGCTCGGGCCAACCAGGCCTACAGGCTACAGTCACTGGGGACCGCTCCCAGTCAGGGCTGTGGTGGGAGTACCTCCCTACACCTGGGCAGACGGTCTGCCTCTTCCCAGCGCCCGCCTTCTTGGCTTATCAAGCAAAGTCCCAGGACAATTGCTGGAGGCTGGGACCTCGGCCCAGGGCCCCCAGGGGAGAAGCCAGCGCAGGAGAGGGGGATTAAGAGGTCTCGGCTGGGATGGGTCAAGCTGCCCCAGCCCTGGCACAGCCAGGGCCACTGGCGCACGCTGCTGGTGACTGCAGCCTGGCGGAGGGAGGGAAGGAGGCGGAGTAAGCGGCTGGGCCCCAGAGGCAAGCGAGGGAAAATTGAACGTGCGTGCAAGGGACCAGAATGACAGGTGGCAGGCACCGGAGCGGCAGCGCTCTCTTGGCGCAGTCGCTTTGGCCAGCCCGACGAGCCCGGGAAAGAAGGTGAGGGAGCCCTGGCAGAGAGCGCTCAGGCCTCCTGGGGCCGCCGCGCTGACCCGCTCCAGCCAGGTCGGGAGTTCTGACTTTCAGGTGTCAGTGTGTGCGGCCCAGCAGGGAGGAGCACGGCGAACTCACTTCCTGCATGAGTCGCGGACTCGACTTAGAAACCCACCCCCCCTTCCGCGCGCCGCGCTCCTAGTGTCCCCAGAAGGCGCACCCCTGGCGCCCCCTCTCGGCGCTTACCTGGGCTTCACGGGCCGGGCGCGACGCGGGCGGCGGCGGTCGTCCTGGCCGGCGCCGGGTGCGCGATCCCCATGGGCCGGCTCCCGGGCCTCCCGCCCGGCGAGCGAGGACGCGTTCTCCCGCTCTCTGCTCAGCGCGCTCGCGCTCTCTTTCCCCCGGGGCGGCGGGGGCGCTCTAGGGCCGCAGGTTGGAGGGGTCGGACTCCGGGATCTGCAGGATGCGGCACACGGCGCGGATCGGCCGCACCAGCTTCTGGGCCGAGGCCGTGGGTTGCGCCATGGGACGCCGAGACTCCGTGCTGCGCCGCGGGGAGAGCCGGGCCGGGGCTAGGGAGCGGGGGGCCCCGGGGGGGGGAGAGGGAGCGGGTGCCCCCGAGGGAGAGAGGGAGCCGGGCCGGGGGGAACGCGCGCCCCGGGTCGGAGATGGCCGAGTCGGGGAAAGGCCGAGGGGCCGGGGGAGGGGGTCGTGCCTGGCCGAGGGGCCGATCCTGGGACGCAGGAGAGGCACCAGCGAGGGCGCAGAACCGCGCGGCGCGGCTAATGGAGGGAGAGCGCGGCGGGGAGCGCAGCAGGACCTCCGATCGCCTCGTGCCTGGCCGAGGGGCCGATCCTGGGACGCAGGAGAGGCACCAGCGAGGGCGCAGAACCGCGCGGCGCGGCTAATGGAGGGAGAGCGCGGCGGGGAGCGCAGCAGGACCTCCGATCGCCATCGCCAGACGCGCAACTGAGAGTGGGGAAGCCGCTCCTCCGGTCTCCTCCTCCAGCACCCTGCGGGAAACAGGAGCCCGTGACTCGGCGGCCCCGCCTGGGCCTGCCCCCTCCCGAGCCCCGGGGGCTTCCGCCAACGCCCCGGCGATGCCACCGGCTGCGCACGGGGAGAATGAGCCCTTTGTTCCCCCTCCCCCCGCGGCACCCGGGCGCCTGCGAGAGAGGCTCCCCCCCGGCACGCGGGCCACCTT